TGGGGGTTGACTGGGCCACTTCTGTGCTAAAGTCAGATGCCCTCAAAATGAACAGAATTCCCCGCCCCCACTCACACACAACTATCACTATCACATGGGTCCCCACTCAGCTCTCCCTCTACTGACCATTCTTCCCACCTATAGAAGCTGCTTTATTGGTACTTGTTTCATCTCAGTCCCTAATAGGCAGTATATGGAAGTTTCTACCATACAGTAGTTGTGTGACCTGCGTTATTTATCCTTTCTAAGCTTCAGTTTTCTGTAAAATGGGCTCTATTACAGCATCCACTGAACAGATTTGCTGTGAACATTGACTGAAATAAGGTGCATGGTCAGAACTCAGCAAACGGTAGATGTCACTAAGCTGGAAAGTGGTGCTGACCAGAGATACACAGGTAGGTGCAGTGGGAGTTCAGAGGTGAAAATGGACTTGACAACTGTTGCCTTAAGTAGAACATCCCTCCCCGCAAAAAAGTATTTTACACGTAACCAGTAGCTGTGGGAAACTCCACTGTTGTGGGTTTACTGTGCTGTTACAAAAGGCAGTGCTTGCATTCACTTGTCAGTCTTACCCAGCGTGCATTGAATTGCAGCAAGACCAAGAAAAACGTGGAGAGAGAAGAAAAATCAGTGTGTTAGGCCAAGGTTTCCCAAGACTTCCATCAGGCTCCTAGAGAAACTGTACACGTTCGCCTCCTGCTGCTGGGGTGAAATGGTGGGAGAGAGGGCCTCCTTTATCAAATGAAATGAGTAGCAAACACATTTGTCCCCAGCCCAGATCCAAAAGCTAATCCTCATCCGAGCTTAGTAATTAGTAGGTGACAGTTTGATGATTTGCATTTGAAGATGAGAAAGTCCAGGACTAGAGACCAAGACTGTGCTTTCTGGTCCTGGTTTCCAGGACCAGTGGCCAGGCCAGTCATGTCCATCTTCCCTCCCCAGCAACCTCCTCGCTCATGGCAGTTCTCCTAGCAAGAGAACAGGGGGAGTGGAAGCTTTCTCAGCCTCAGCATCAATCAAAAAATATTCAAGGGGCAACTGCAAAGCACCCAGTCCTGTGCCAGGTCCTTTGGGCAAGCTCTGCAGATTTAAAAAGGAAGTCCACTGAACAGCAAAGGAAACCATCAACAAAATGAAAAGGCAACCTACGGAATGGGAGAAGGTATTTGCAAATAATGTATCTGACAAGGGGTTAACATCCGCAACATATAAAGAATCCATACAACTCAATAGCAAAAAGCCAAACTGATTTTAAAATGGGCAGAGGAACCAAATAAACGTTTTTCCAAAGAAGAGGTACAAGTGACTAACAGATACATGAAAAGATGCTCAACATCACTAATCATCAGGGAAATGCAAATCAAAACCACGAGCTATCACTTCACACCTGTCAACAATGGCCATCATCAAAGAGACAAGTGATGACAAGTATTGGTGAGGATGTCAAGAAAAGGGCAGCCTTAAGCGCTGTTGGTAGGAATACAAATTGGTGCAGCCACTATGGAAAACAGCATGGAGGTTCCTCAAAAAATTAAAAATAGAACTTCCGTATGATCCGGCAATCCCACTTCTGGGGATATATCCAAAGAAATGAAATCACTATCTCAAAAAGATATCTGCACCCCCATGCTCATTGCAGCATTATTTAAAATAACCAAAACCTGGAAACAACCTAAGTGTCCATCAACAAATGGATAAAGAAAACGTGGTATGTAAAAATACAGTGGAATATTATTCACCCATAAAAAAGAAGGAAATTATGCCATTTGCAACAACATGGATGGACCTTGAGGGCATTATGCTAAGTGAAATAAGTCAAAGAAAGCCAAATACTATATGATCTCACTTATACATGGAATCTTTTTTTATTATTAATTAATTAATTTATTTTTGGCTGCATTGGGTCTTCGCTGCAGTGCACGGGCTCCTCATTGCAGTGGCTTCTCTTGTTGCGGAGCACGGGCTCTAGGCACATGGGCTTCGGTAGTTGTGGCACGTGGGCTCAGTAGTTGTGGCTCGCAGGCTCTAGAGCACAGGCCTCAGTAGTTGTGGTGCACGGGCTTAGTTGCTCCGTGGCATGTGGGATCTTCCCGGACCAGGGCTCGAACCCGTGTCCCCTGCATTGGCAGGTGGATTCTTAACCACTGTGCCACCAGGGAAGTCCCTATACATGGAATCTTAAAAAACCAAACTCACAGAAACAGAAAACAGTTTGGTGGTTGCCAGAGTTGGGGGAGGGGGGAGAAATGGGTGCAGGTGGTCAAAAGGTACAAACTTCCAGTTATAAGATAAATAAGTTCTGGGGGTGTAACATATATTATGGTAACTATAGTTAATAACATTGTATTGTATATTTGAAAGTTGCTCAAAGAGTAGATCTTAAAAGTTCTCAACACAGGAAAAAAAAAAAGTGTGACTATGTGAGGTGATGGACATTAATTAAACCTACTGTGGTCCTCTGGCTGCAGAACCCGCCCTCTTACCTTCTAGCCGAGAGCTGCCCAATGCAGTAGCCACTGGCCATCTGCGGCCATTACTTGAAATGCGGCTGGTCTGAATTGAAATGTGCTAAATGTGTGAAATACACATTGGATTTCAAAGACTTGGTATGAAAAAGGAATAGAAAATATCTTCTCAAAGTTGTATTGATTACATGTAGAAATTATAATATTGTAGATATATTGGATTAGATAAAAGGTATTACTACAACTGATTTCCCTGTTCCTTTTTACTTTCTTGACATGGCTGCTAGAACATTTTGAATTACATTTGTTTCTCGAATTATATTTCCATTGGAGAGGGTTGTTCTATATGGACCTCATAGTTTGCTTCAAGCATTAAATCAATGAATACAATGAGAGCACCTAGCACAGTGCCTGGAGCAAAGTAAGCACCCAACAGCTATTCCTAATATTAGAAAGATCAGTGTTTTGCAAATGTTGTGGCCAAGTTATCTTTTTTTCAAGCAACTTCCTCTAACAGATAAAAAAGCACTTCTGATTGAAGCAAAGGGGTGTCCTTTCCAGCAGCTCATTCACCCTGGTACCACCTCCACAGCTTGGAAACCCACAGAGTGAAATCAACTTTAAATATCCCACAAGCTTTAGCATTGTACGTCTATAATTTCAGAGAAGGCGAGGAAGTGGTATTGGACAAAATCAAGGTGTCTATGGCAGAACTTTAAAAATGGTCATGGATCTTAAAAGTTCTCACCACAAAAAAGAATCATTAAATGATGCAATGAAGTTGGTTGCTCAAGCCATGGTGGTGATCATCTTGCAACAGAGAAGTGTATCAAATCGACACGCTGTACACCTCAAACTTACACAATGTTATATACCAAGTATATCTCAATAAAAATTAATTAATGCCAAAAGAATGATCTTGGAAAAACACTACCATTTTGCTTGAGAGGATCAAAGTGATTTGGTACCAGATCTAGACAGTCCAGAAATCGGGGTGTCACGAATGTGAATGGGGTCACCTGTGGGCCCCTGGATCATCACCTGCCTGCACAATACCCAGGCGCCACTGCAGCTCTCTCCTGCTCCTCAAGGGCTAGCTGCAGGGAAGGGAACAAGTGACACTCAGCCCAGACACCACAATGACTTTGCTGTCCTGAAGGCAACTCTGGGCTCAGTCAGCCCAATGTCTGCCAGGCAAGCCACCTGGCTCTTGCTGTAGCCCTCGCCCCTGGCGCTGGTGTGTGTGTGTGTGTGTGTGTGTGTGTGTGTGTGTGTGTGGGTGTGTGTGTGTACGGGGACAGCAGCCAGGTCTTTGCCGGGCTCTCTAACAAGTTCCGCAAGTCTGTTTGTTAAAGAAAAATTCCAGTGGGTGCATCCAACACATGGAACTCAAGTACAGAAATTATATTTATCCACCCCACTGCCAAGGAGATCACATGCCCCATGAGTCACTCCAGATGTGCTCAAAAACAGAGTCTCTCTGTGGAAGCCCAGTCGCCCAATCCCAGAGAGAGTAGGATTAACAGAGGTCCCGCTCCTGTCCTCCCCAGGAGGCAGCCCTTGCCTCTACCCTTCTGAGGCAGGAGAGGGCACCTCTACAGGTCTGAAAAAGAAGGGGAGGTAAGAACGATATCATCACACTGGGAGGACCAGTACGGGCATACCTGTAGCTCCTGGGGTCCCACTGGGTCTGAGGGCGACTTTTCACCTTTTTGGAGGAAAAGATGTGTTGGAAGACGTTGCTGCTTCTGCTGTTGTATTACGACGCTCAGCCCACTCTGTCGCACAGGTGGAGCAGGGGTGAGTTGCTTTTAATTTATTTGTTTGCTTGATGCTCATTCTTCTTTCTTCAATACAATTAGGAATTTGGGGGGGGAAATGGAGAGAGCAGGAAGAAATTAGAAGCCCTGCACCCTCCTTTTATCTCATCTCTGCCAATTGCTTGATGTTTCTCGACATGCTAGAAGGTATTAGAAGGTGATGGGGGAAATGACACCAAAAAATCAAAGTCGCTGAGGGAACTGGGTCCGCCGGGGGGGTGTGTGTGTGTGTGTGTGTGTGTGTGTGTGTGTGTGTGTGTGTGTGTGTGTGTGTGTGTGTGTACAGGGACAGCAGCCAGGTCTTTGCCGGGCTCTCTAACAAGTTCCGCAAGTCTGTTTGTTAAAGAAAAATTCCAGTGGGTGCATCCAACACATGGAACTCAAGTACAGAAATTATATTTATCCACCCCACTGCCAAGGAGATCACATGCCCCATGAGTCACTCCAGATGTGCTCAAAAACAGAGTCTCTCTGTGGAAGCCCAGTCGCCCAATCCCAGAGAGAGTAGGATTAACAGAGGTCCCGCTCCTGTCCTCCCCAGGAGGCAGCCCTTGCCTCTACCCTTCTGAGGCAGGAGAGGGCACCTCTACAGGTCTGAAAAAGAAGGGGAGGTAAGAACGATATCATCACACTGGGAGGACCAGTACGGGCATACCTGTAGCTCCTGGGGTCCCACTGGGTCTGAGGGCGACTTTTCACCTTTTTGGAGGAAAAGATGTGTTGGAAGACGTTGCTGCTTCTGCTGTTGTATTACGACGCTCAGCCCACTCTGTCGCACAGGTGGAGCAGGGGTGAGTTGCTTTTAATTTATTTGTTTGCTTGATGCTCATTCTTCTTTCTTCAATACAATTAGGAATTTGGGGGGGGAAATGGAGAGAGCAGGAAGAAATTAGAAGCCCTGCACCCTCCTTTTATCTCATCTCTGCCAATTGCTTGATGTTTCTCGACATGCTAGAAGGTATTAGAAGGTGATGGGGGAAATGACACCAAAAAATCAAAGTCGCTGAGGGAACTGGGTCGAGGGGGAGAATGCAGAGGGCATCCCTTTCTGACAGGCCAGAGGGAAGTCATCTTTGCTTCGTAGAATGTGGACAGACTCCCTTGACTTCTCCCCCAGGCTGCTGCAGCTGGGCAGGGCGTGCGGAGAGCAGGTGCTCGGGACTGATACTGACATGAAGGGACTGGGGGTGCTGACCGGCAAGAGGCCTGCTACCTGGAGGGAGTGGGGTGTCCACATGGAGGGCTCCACGCTGCTTCCTGAGCAGCAGTGGACGCATCTATCCAGCTGGAGAGAGCTGGTCCAGCAGCAGGAGAGGACGAGTAGCCCCTCAGCACCCTCGTGTTTGCCGGCTGCTACCGCCCTGGCCAGCCCCCTCGGAAAGGAAGGAGCCCAACAAGGCTGCTCCCCACGGCCGACTTCCTTGCTCTCGGGACACAGCTTCTCCGAGCCGGCCTGGCATCGTTTATGGCTCCCGTGGGCAGACACTGGAGGCACCTCCAGTCAATGAGGGTCTATCACTTAGGAAGCAAGGGACCAATAGTGCTGACTGCTCCACACTGATCTGAACTGAGATCTCTCCACTGCCTAAAGTCAACGGAGGTCTCTCTCCTGGAAAGAACTGGAAAAAGAAGTCAGGCTCACTGGTGTTTCCAGAGATCCAAAATAGGGTAACGACTGCACAGCAACAAGAGGATGAGCCCCTTGGTTCTCAATGAGAGTGTCAGGGAAGGAAGGGACGGCCAGCTGGGGCGCAGAGCAGATGTGAAACCGGGGAAAGAAAAAGCCAATGCACTTATTAGGGTTTTTATTCCCTCACACACACATCTCCCTGCTCATCACGTGCACAAACTCTGGGGGCAACACTCGGAAGCACAGAGCAAAGAGACCTTGGCGCTGTGTTCTGCCACTTACCCCTGTGTGACACTGGGGGCCTTCCTTAACCTGCCTATTAAAAAAGGATGATAATATCCACTCTTTAACGCACAGGCTGTTAGAAAGCCAAATGAGATGATTGGATTTGTTACAAGGCTTGTAAACACAATAGGCACATGATGAGCTATCCTGCAAGGAACTCAAAGATTTAAGTTCTGCCTCTAATTGGCTGTGTGATGTCTGGGAAGACTTAACCTCTCTGAGCTTTAGCTCATGAACAGATAACATATTAACAGTAACAAAAACTGACCCTCACTGTGTTGTCATGTGAGGGTCATATTGAAAAATGTAAATAAAACGCTTTGTAAATGAGGAGCTATATAAATGTCAGCTATTACCTACCACTTAAAAAAGGAAAAAATTTCATTAAAGGAAGTCTGAGGTTCTCAACGGAAAACCTTTCGGTTCTATAGCAACATCCTGAGAGCAGCTGCTCTGACTGCACCCCTCCTCACTGGGGAGGGTCTGCGCCCCAATAATGATAACAATCTGTATAAAGACGCAAGGCCAACACAGCTGAGATAGAGGCCATGGTGAGGCAGCTGATGTTAAGTGCTGGATTAGCCGCTCATATCAGTGTTCGGGGCCAACAAATGATGCGGAGCCCTTCCAACCATCATCAGAAGTCTTCCACGTAGTTGATTTTTTTTTTTTTCGTTTTCAACATTTTTTTCTAATCATAAAAGGAATACACAATTGCCCTTTTTTTATGACGGAATGGGAGACGCACCCAGAGAAAAACCAATTTTTCCAAATGTATTAACTGTTCCTTTCACCTGCATCCTTACCCCAACCCTGCCCCCCACCCCAGTGCTAGGCTTAATTTAGAAGAATTCCCTCTGGAAACAGTCAGAGGGCGACTTCTCCCTACAAAACCCCTCCTCCATCCCCACCCCCACCCCCAGCACCACCCCCTGCCTCCACGGGTAGAAGTGTGGAAATAAACCCCAAAGGAATACACCCTGCCGTCAGGACATCTTTTTTTCCTACCATTCTCCAGCGTCTCCCTCGGACGCGCTCTCTAGGATTCCGCTCTGGGAGGCAGCTCCCTGTGCCAGGATGGCTGCTCCAGCCCCACGGCCTTGATTAAGACCAAGGGACCCACCTGTGGTTAGCGAGGCTGCTGGGAAGTGGACACACCTGGCCCAAGTCCCAGCCCCACCCAGGTCCTGCCGGCACACCAACTGCCTGGGGGGCTGCAGGGAACTAGCCAGTCTTAAAAAAAAACACACACGTATTAATTCCTATAAGTATCTGATTTTTATTAAATACATATGTTATTTCTTTGACAAGCAGTTTCATAAGGAAGGGTGGCCTTATGTCATCTTCACGTGTCCAGTTTAGTGCTGTGTGTGTTTTCAGTCGTCAATATTCCGTGAAGGGAAGGGCCCCGGGTGGGTGTTTTCAGTAAGTGTCAACTGACTCACTGGTCCAGCATGACTAAGAGGCCACCTCATTCACTTCATGGTCACTGCCTTAGGAGGCGTTATTCTGACCACTAACAGGTAAGAAAGCTGGAGGATGGGGGAGAACTTAGCACTCCCCAGATCCCTCAGCTGGAAGCTTAGAGCTGGATCTCACTCCCCCAACCCAGTCTGCAGAGACAGAGTCTCCATGTCCTCACTCACGCCCCTCCATCCCTTCCAGGTGCTCCCCCTGGGTGGTGGCACATTCTGGCCAAGGGGAGCCAACACACAGCAGCCCTTTCAGAAGCACTTCAGGGGACCCCAACACACAGGGCCAAGGTCCTGGCTACCTCAGAACATCACTGTGTTTCTGAAGGGCTGGCCCAGGAGCAAAAAAGTAAATGACGGGCTTCCCTGGTGGCACAGTGGTTGAGAGTCTGCCTGCTGATGCAGCAGACACGGGTTCGTGCCCCGGTCCGGGAAGATCCCACATGCTACGGAGCAACTAAGCCCGTGCGCCATGGCCGCTGAGCCTGCACGTCCAGAGCCTGTGCTCTGCAACGGGAGAGGCCACAACAGTGAGAGGCCCGTGTACCGCTAAAAAAAAATAAAATAAATGACATCAGTAGGATCTGGCAAGACTTTTTATAAATGAGAGCTTTTCCTTTCCACACCCACAGTCATTTCCATAGAGTTGCTTCAACTGATTCATTAAAACTATGGTTGTATTTTGGTATGATATGGTCTACAGTGTGATTCCTTTCCAATAAGCTCTTTGGTACAGATGCTGTGCACAGTTACATGGAAACCATGGTCAGTCTTAATATTGTTCTGTTTTTTTTTTAACCTATTTGGGAGATGGGAGGGAAGAAGAGATTTTTATCCCAGGTTATAAAAAGTCAAAGAGAAGATCAAGCTCAAAGCAAAAATAGGCTCTTTCATTTAGGGAGGCTTCTGCCTATACATCTGGGCAAGAAAGCTTGAAGGAGGTAAGGCTTGGGGAGCAAGACAGGTGCAGGTGCAAGCCTTGACTGAGATAATTAAAAGTAGCTTCTCTGGGTATGAAGGGAACCCTTCTTTACTGTTGATGGGAATGAAAACTGGTGCAGGCACTATGGAGAACAGTATGGAGGTTCCTTAAAGAACTAAAAATAGAGTTACCATATGATCCAGCAATCCTACTCCTGGGCATATATCGGGAGAGAACCATAATTTGAAAAGTTACATGCACCTCAATGTTCATAGCAGCACTATTCACAATAACCAAGACATGGAAGCAACCTAAATGTCCACTGACAGATGAATGGATAAAGATGTGGTACATATATACACAACGGAATACTATTCAGCCATAAAAAAGAATGAAATAATGCCATTTGCGGCAACATGGATGGACCTAGAGATTATCCTACTAAGTGAAGTAAGTCAGAGAAAAACAAATATCATACGATATCATTTATATATGGAATCTAAAATATGATACAGATGAACTTATTTACAAAACAGAAACAGACTCACAGACAGAGAAAAGAAACATGGTTATCAAAGGGGCAAAGGGGTGGGCAAAGGATAAATTAGGAGTTTGGGATTAGCAGATACAAACTACCATATACAAACTAGATAAGCGACAAGGACCTACTGTACAGCACAGGGAACTATATTCAGTATCTTGTAATAACCTATAATGAAAAAGAATATATATGTGTAACTAAATATATATGTGTGTGTGTGTGTGTGTGTGTATACATATGTCTGGATCACTCTGCTGCGCACCAGAAACTAACATAACATATTGTAAATCAACTATACTTCCATTTAAAAAAAAAATCGGTTTCTCCTAGACCCAAACAGGGGTTCCTCATAGATAAAGGGAGGGTGTGATGGAGACAGGAGACAACATCTACTTTCTGATAATTACCCAGGACCTGTAACTGCAAATAAGATCCAGAATCACCCTGTTAAAAAGAGAAGGATTTGGTGAGGCACTCTGAAAACAATGGAGTTGAGTAACAAGGAGAGTGAATGTGTTTCTATGGGATTGTTTATTCATTCAACAGTCACCGGCAGGATTTTAGGCACTGCAAATACAGCATTAACAAAACAGACAAAATCCCATGCCCTTGTGAGCTGACGTCCTAGTGAAAGGAAACAGACAATAAGCACATATAGAAATAAACTATCTGGTTCATTGGATGGCAATAAGGTTGGGACAGATTAGAGGATATAAAGGATCACAAGTTTAAATAGGAGAGTCAGGGAGGGCCTCACTGAGGAGGTGACTTGAGACCTGAAGGAAACACAGGAGTGAGCCATGCAGTCTCCAGGGAAGGAGTATTCCAGGCAGATGGAACAGAAGTTCAAAGGTCCTGCGGCAGAGGCATGCTTGATGAGCTCAAGCAACAGTGAGGAGGCCTGCAGCTAGAGGGGCATGAGCCAGAGGATAATAGCAGAT